TCAGTATCTTCACTTATTTCTTTTGAGCTAGGAGTATAATTTACCTGTTTATAACATATACTAGAGAAAGCCCCACTGGTCTGAACACACTATCATATCTGTCTTTAGTGATAATCGTGCTACTTTCACTTTCACCGTACTGCAGACTTTAAACTTCAGCGTATTTGCACCTTTAAAATGTTTAGATAGCTTAAAAGGAATACTTTCCTTAAGTTTTTTTCACATTTACTTTGTTTTGTGAGGTATTCTGGCTCAGATCCCATTGCTATAAAGGTTATCAACTTATCACTTGTCAATTGAAATAGACATTTATAGGAAAAAAAAAAAAAAAGTGTGTAAAGTGTATAGTTAGTTTTTATTTTTAGCATACCCACAACTTTGAATGAATGACATGCTCTTTTATGACTGCTGTGGTGCTGCATTGTAATTACAGTCATGGTAAGAGTTTATAGAAATTCCTAAAAGGCTCTCAGGAACAAAACCCAGAAGTACCCGTCAACTTTTAAATCTGGTGGTATGGAAGAGTGGTAACTAAGACTGTTAGAAACAATCATAGGAAGGAGAGAAAACAGATTTACTGGGTAGCAAATGCTGTTAATTTCATGAATATAGCTAATAGAGCAAGAGAAGATTGTCTGTTGTACTTCCCAATATCTTGAAACCTATTTGACACCTTTCAAGAAACTCAAGAGAATTATTGTGATTATTTCTCAAAGGCTTGAAGAATGAAGGGGCTCAAAACTGTCAATCTTCTTTGCCTTTTGAAACTTTCCCTGAAACAGTAGATGCTTTGGACTTGATTGAAAATATAAAATGCAGACACATTTCAGTGGAAACCATATAAACAATCTGTCTCTATAAAAGCATTCATAGTTGGTCTGATAACACTTTACCTCCGTGTTTATATATTACAATTGCAAAATTTCTACTTACATTTTTTTTCTCCTTACAAGAATGTAATTTATAAAGACATTATGATATAGACTTTACATGATCATATACTTTCCATTAGTCCCTGTTCCTCTTTTACTGAAAATCGCTTGAACTGCTCTCAGAAGATAACCACTAATTTTTGTTGCCCACTGTGTTGGTTTAGGCCCTGCCGGGACCGGAGACCACGTTGCTGTTGTCCCTCCCCCTCCCTCGGACACAAGTAGGGCACAAACCCCGGGTTACAATAAGAAAAAATGTAATACAACAGTGTGATAAACAATCTGAACAACAACAGTAGCAATGATAACAACAATAAACAGTAATAACAGTACACAAAACAAAAGATATACAGAGAAATACCACAATGGTTACAGACAGCCCCGTGCTTCCCGTGACCAAAGCAACAAAGGAAAAAGTTCCCTTGCTCCTGCGCCAGACTTAACTATGAATAACCCGGCTGGAGATCCCTTCCCCCTCTCTGCTGGGGAAAATTAACCCTTTTCTAGATGAACTAGGACACCCACATTTCTACAAAATATGTAAGTTACACTAATATTAACAGATACTATTTTTGGCTACACCTTTGTGAGACAGTGGTATTGTATTTTGCCTATTTGCAGACAGGAAACACACAGGAGGAAAGGACAAAAGCACCTATTCAGTGTCCAGTATGAGGTACCTAAGACCTCACATTGTGAGGTCAGCAAAGGCTCAGCATTTTGTAGCACCTGATGTTTTCTAAATACAGCTTCCATTGATTTTAGCTGCAATTGTAATTATTCAACATTTCACAGAATCACAGAATCATTCAGGTTGGAAAAGACCCTTGGGATCATTGAGTCCAATCATCAGCCCTACTCTATAAAGTTCTCCCCTACACCATATCCCCCAACATCTCATCCAAACGACCCTTAAACACATCCAGGGATGGTGACTCCACCACCTCCCTGGGCAGCCTATTCCACTGTCTGACCACTCTTCCTGTGAAAATTTTTTTTCCTAATGTCCAGTCTGAACCTCCCCTGTTGTTCTATTGCTAATTGTCTGTGAGAAGAGACCAGCACCAACCTCTCTACAACGTCAGATTGTTGTAGAGTGTGAGGAGGTCTCCCCTTAGCCTCCTCTTCCTCAAACTAAACAGTCCCAGCTCCTTCAATCGCTCCTCACAGGATTTGTTCTCCAGGCCCTTCACCAGGTTCGTTGCCCCCCTCTGCACTTGCTCCAGCACCTCGATATCTCTCTCATATTGAGATGCCCAAAACTGGACACAATACTCCAGGTGTGGCCTCACCAGTGCAGAGCACAGGGGGACTATCCCCTCCCTACTTCTGCTGGTCACACTATTTCTAATACAAGCCAGGATGCCGTTGGCTTTCGTGGCCACCTGGGCACACTGCCAGCTCATGTTCAGCTGCATTTCAACAGTGAGTAGAGTAAGGCTCCAGAAAAATAGGAATGAAACACATGACCAAGTATGAAAAATTAGCCTACACGATTTGCAGAACATCCATTAAACATTGCGTAGCACAAGTAGGACTAGACTCTGGTTACATAGTGACATTCAGTTGTCTTAAGATTTCTTGTAGTGTCCTGACACATTCACTATATGTATTTTAAAATATGTGTGTGTGAATTTATACACACATGCATACATACATGTGTGCCTCTGTGTGTGTGTGTGTGTGTGTGTTCACATGGCAAGAGAAATAGGGCCATATACACAACAGTTGTCTTGACTGCATAGCCCTGATTCAACTCAAAATTCAGTATGCTCAGAAAAAAACATGATCATATCATTAAATCTTTTTCATGATGAACAAGGAGGCCAAAGTAGAGCTGAATTTTTAGTTTTGAATGTGTGGATCAGTAATCTGGAAGCAATTCTTTCCTACTTTGTTAAAAAGGACCATTACTATTACTAAAGGAATGCCAAGGTCTGATACTGCAACTGGCCCCTTCAAAAGAGCTGGAACCTTTCCCACCCATACATAGGACATTGCACTTCCCAGTGGTAGATCACCAGTAGGTAGTCACCACTTACCTAGTCAGTGCTAGAAGCAAAAAACTCTGCCTGAAGGCATCATCCACATTTCTGCAATAATTATACTGAGATTCAAGGATGCTGAGATCAGGTTCACTTGGGGAAAAATCCTGACCCAACCCCAAGGATTTGGGTCAGATGTCCCTAGAAGCCCTCCAGATCAGTTTCCCCTCTCTGTTTCCTCAGGATATGTCACTTAGTGCCACAGTTCTGCCACTAGAATGTAGGAGCCCATCACCTCGACCCAGGGTCCTGTTGTCTTAACATGGGGCACCATCACCTCAAAGTGGGTCACTGTCACTTCAGCCTGGGACACCATCCCCTCAGCCTAGGTCGCCATCTCTTCCATACGGGCTGCCAGCACATCAACCAGGAGTGCCATTATTTCAACCTGGGGCACCATCATCTCAATGCGAAGCACCATCACTGCAGTCTGGGGCGTTGTTACCAAAACATGGAAAACCATCACCTCAGCATGGGGCCTCATTGCCTTAACCTGGGACACCATTATCTCAACTTGGGATGCCATCACCTCAAAACGGAGTGCCAGCACCTCAACCTGGGGCACTGTTACCTCAACCTGAGGCACCATCACCTCAGCATGGGCCCCATCACCTCAGTCTGGGGACTGGCCACCACCTCAGCTTGGGGCACTATCACCTCAGCATGGGAGCCGCCTTATCTCAGCCTGGAGCCCCATCACCTCAGCTTGGGGCACTATCACCTCAGCATGCAACCCCATCACCTCAACCCGAGGCAGCGTCATGTCAACACCTGGGGCAGCGTCACTTCAGCCTGGAGCCACCTATCACCTGAACCTGGGGCCCATCACCTCCACTTGGGACACTATCACCTCAGCGTGAGGCGCCATCGCCTCAGCGAGGGTCCCAGCTTTCCCCCCTCATTCTGCGGAGAGAGGCGGGAGGGAAGAGGAGAGTCGGCGCCTGAGGGGGGCGGGAAGGGAGC